GTATTTGCTGCTTCTTACTAAAATAGATACGCATATTTCTCTCTTGGAATCAGTAAAACTGAAAAAAACAACCCATAGGGTGGGGTATTGAAACTTGTGTTATCATATAACCAAAATGATCTAGAGTAATTAAAACTTTTTTTCTCTCTCTCTCTCTGACTAAAGAAACAGCCTTATTTTGGGAAATGTGATGGAAGAAAAAAAGCTCTGTTATCTGTCCATCTGTATGCTTTTTTCTTCATATAGTGGAAAGGACAAACAGAAGGTTTTCCTGCAGGATAACTTAAGGATACAAAAAGCAGCAGTGAGGGGGAAAAAAAAAAGAAAAGAAAAGAAAAGAAACATCACTGTCAAGTATGAGCTTGAATGGGAGAGGTTATCCTTGAGACAGGCTTGCTATTAAGTTTGGCGAATAGTTTAGAAAATGCTTCAGCTTTTTTCACAGGCACTTTTTTCATGGAGGTACTAGTTGTTTTAGGAAGGAAATAAGATTTTGTACTGCTGTGATGAGTTTCATGCTATTTATTCCCATGTAAGAAACAAATTAATTTGGAACAGATGTGGTCATAGGTGGACAAATATACTTACATTTATTTTGTGCTTTTGAGTCTATATAGCAGCTTACAAACTAAAAGTAAAAAAACTGTGTAAGATTTTTTTGGAGAAGGAGACTGAATGTTATGGAAATAGAGGTTCTATTCCTTCATTGTAAGCTTCGTATTTTTCTGATGTGTAATGAAGGAAATTGTAATGTCTGTTATCACAAAACATCAGTTGACTTCTGTGCTTTTGGTCTGAGCCTGAAGGTAACAATTCATTATTTGAAAAAATGTGTGTGGTATTGAAGACCACCTTGACAGAGTTAACTGAAGATCCTGACTTCTTCAGGCGCCTTTCAGTGGAAAATTTGCCAAAGAACTTTCCAGTATAGAGTGACTGGGTGATTAAAAAAAAAATTCAAAAATAAAAAAAAAAAAAAAAATTTTAAAATATGTAGTGCAATGCACAGAGTATTTTTTTTAAAAAAACCCTACATTTATTTTAAAAAATATATAGTGTAATGTACAGAATAAATAAAATATTTTTTCATTTCACAGTAATGACCTCCAAGCTTATTTTTACTAGAATTTTTTACAATAATTCTGTAGTCAGGTTGTGTGTATTATCTGTGAACTGAATTGATAGCAGAAATTTTTGCAAAAGGGATAGGGAGCAAAAATATATATATATATATTTTTTTTTTAAAGGGTGAAGAAAAAAAAAAGGGCAATTTTATGTCCAGGATGCATGTTGAAAGTCACACAGTATTAAAATTTATTTCCTTAATCTCAGAAAGGAAGGATGTAGTGGAGCTGAAACAGTACAGAAAAGAAACACCTCCAAAATGTTTAAATGTATCCAGCGATACAGTATACAGATTAGGCAGACTAGAAATTTCTCTAAAGGAAAACTCAGAGAACCTGATAGAAGCAATTGAATTGTTAGAGAAGTAGAAAATGTAAATAGTAATAAATATATGCAAACAAATGCTTGCGTACTCTGCTTTCTAATTTGAAAACTAGGGCCATCAAATTAAACTAGCAGGTGAGTTTCTCAACAGAAAGTGTTTTTTTTTTCATGTTGTACAAAGAAATGACCTTTTGTTCAGGAATTCTCTGATCCACAAATAGCTGAAGATGCCTAATTATTCTGGTGAACCATTGCTGTACATTGGACCTCTTCTTTCACCATAGGCAGAGACTGGTGATCTAAACTAACTTGTTCTTCCTTCTGACCTGTTACAGATGTTTTGTTAGGGTGGGGGGTTTTTTTGTTTGTTTGTTTTTTTGTTTCATTTTGTTTTTCTGTTAAAATGAATTCACTAGACAAGAGGAAGAGCTTGAGCTACTTACATTTTTGGCTGGTACACCAACATGGATCAACAAAATTGGGGTTAGAATCTAAAAGCTGCTACTAGTTCACAAGTCCTAATGAGTCAGAGTAACTGTCTGCATGTGAGATCTTAATCTGCATAAAGCTGAAGTTATTCAGACTCTTTTTCCTACTGTTAGATCCAAATGCACCCAACAGTCCAAGGCAAGATACTTCATAAGTGTGTAGGAATGACCTGTGTACTTCAGTAAATTGAAGTCAAATTCTAAAATTTGGATGTCCATGGCAGAAATACAGAATCACAGCTATACTATCTCTAATGGCTGTTGAATCAGAAATCTATTCTAAGTTTTTTACAGTTCCAAGGATAGACATAACTTCAGGTAGCTGTTTCACATGGCATATTTGTTCAGTCTGTGTCCCCAGTATTACTGTTCTGCTGTGGCACTGGCACTGATGAGCATAATTTATCTGTCACTGTCTCTAAAGAGTAGCTCTGAACAAGGTTAAATGACATAATGCCAGCATTGTCAACCTGCAGCTCTTCAGTACAGCTTTCACAGTATAGGTATCTATGCCAGGGCTGAGTTGTCTCATCATTGTTAAGACTGATGTTTCCCCAAAACACAAATCTTTATCATAGGTATCACTTGTAGAAATTTTGCACTATGTATGCTTATTAGAGATTCATGGTAGACAAGGGTCTATCCTGATGCTAGTCAAATATTAGTAAATATGCTGCTCATTTTTTAATATACTTTAATGATAGATATTCCATTGAAAAAAATACTTGTTGAAATAAGAACATGGAACACTAAGATCAATTCCTGACACTTCAGAGAAAGCACTTCATGGGAGTGAAATCTTGATGCAGTAGAGGGTTTTAGTAGTAGTTATATCAAACAAAGAATAAAAAGGAACAGTTTCTTCGATACAGAACAGGAAAGCCCAAGTGAAAGACCTTATGAACATTCTAACTATAGACATTACATTCATTAATTATTTTTTTATAAAAGAGATGAGATAAAATAATAATTGCAGAAGTAATTTATCACTGTCAGTCCTGAATGTTGTTTGATGAATATCAATAGCATCTGGGTTATATTAAAGAACATTGAATACATTAATACATTAGCTGGTTGAATAATATTGTTTCCTTAAAAAAGAAAATAAAAAAAAAAATCCTGACCCTTTAGGAAAGTTCAGTTTGTTTAATCCCCAAATTGAGTTAAACTGCCAGGGAGGGTAGCATGATAGACTAGAAAGAAGGCTGACATAGGAAAAATATAGAAGTAGTAGAAGTAGTTTGAATGTATTTGAAGTTAATTTCTTATTAGAAGAAAAATGTTTTGGACTCCAAATAATCTCTTTGACAAAGTTCAAAGACCTTGGGGATGGATTGTGAGCTACAGAAAAAGAACGCTATCATTTGAAATAAAGCAATGTGAAATCTGTTGATGAAAAGTCTTAATGAAGTACTGTAAGCATATATGCCCTAAAATAATTTTCCCTGACAGTAACCACAGGTATGATTTCACAATCCAGTTGAGCAAAATGAGCAGCATAACTTTTGTTCTCTTCCCTTCCCCCATCTGTGCTTTTAACTCTTTTGTTGGCATTAGTGCTGTGTCTGATACTCATTCAGCTGAGCCAGCTCTCTAACAAGGTGAAAGTGCATAGGGGTCTTTTTGTTGTTTATTTTTGAGATGGTAACAGGGTTTTGCTGTTGAAGTGTATGGGTGACCTTACTGCAAAAACCCGATGAATCCCAGAGATAACTAAAGATAGACAGCAGGATGAACGGATTAAGATTGGAAATGGAAGCAGAACTTCACTTTTTGGCAGTGTCATATCATACTGCTAATCCAACTCAGGCTGTATTGTTAAAAAGCATATTCTAAAATTCCTTGTCTAAAATTATCACAGCAGTAACAAATAGAGTGTTGTGACAGCTGAGCTATATGTTAATGTACTTGTAACAGTAGTAAAGAGCATTGGTAGGAAACTAAGGTGAGATAAAATTATTTTAAAATGACCTGTGTATATCTCAGTAAATTAAAGTAAGATTTTAATATTTGCAGGTCAGTGACAGAAATACAAAATCACAGCTATGCCATGTCTAATGGCTGTTGAATCAGAAATGTATTTTAAGATTTTCCAGTGTAATATTGTCAGTTTTATGCATAATCTTGTTCCACATAATTCTGTGGTAACCTAAATTTTGTTAATCCTTTTCTCTGGCTCTCTTGTGCTTAAAGTTGAACAGGAATTAAAGTTATAAATAAAGTAATCAGGCATTCCATTATACTGATTTTCTTCCCCCTACTTTAAGGGCTCAGATCTTGCTTGTGTACTATTGGTCTTGTTTTGAACTTAGTCCTGGAATACTACATGAAGTGTCACACAGCTGTGACATAGTACTAACAGGCTGCCAGCAGCTAACTCACAGGCTTTCTGGTTGAGGTACATCCTTAATGCTATGCTGCTTTTTGTTTGCATGATTCAGAAAACAAATTAGAATTTTAGATCTGTAAAGTTGCAAAGCATCATTGTTTCAAGTTTAATTTGCCAAAGTATTTAGTCAGTGTGTTGATTAACTAAACACAAAGTGATTGGTCCAAAGACAGTAAATAGGTTAGTAAAAGAAACCTGTATTCTGAACTTCTGTCCTGTTCTGTTTTGTCCTTTTTTCTTGTTCTACTACATTGTTCTCCTTTCATGGCTTCTGCTTTTTTCCTTCTATTTTCTCTGCTATTTCTATCACACTTGTCAAAACATGATAGTTCTGCAATAATGTAACCAGAATTTCCATTTCATGAGATTTATTTGGATTAGGAAAACAATGAAGTTCAAAAGTAAGAGGTTTTATAAAATATGTGAGTTCTTGGTGGTAGAACCTCAGAATGTGACATATATTCTCAAATGCAGAAATGCTTTTTCTTCTGCCTATCCCCTGCAAAGGACTGTTAGTTATGCAGTCAGTGTATGCATCACATTTGTCTCCATATTATTTCTATTATGTAGAAACTTTATGAAGCATTTCATACTGTTGAATTAGGTAATAAGAAATCTGACCTTAAAATATTTGTCTTTTGATCAGTTGCGGCCAAAATCCTTCTGTTTGGATTCTGAACTATGACATCATGGCAAGATTTCGCAGAAGAACCTGCATCATTTTGTTGCTTTTTATTTTGTTTATTTGCTCCATAATGATGGCTTTGAAGACTCTGAGACCTGACAGAGCTGGCTTTGGGGATCCATTTGGACTTGGTTTGTTGCCCGAGCTTCAACAACGGACGATGCTCTTAGACAATAACCAGAATTCACTAAATAGAGTTCAAGATACTGTAACACGTGTCAGTAATTTCCATAGTGTCGCAGTCAATACTGTGAAAGCATCTATGGCTCCTGTAAACAAGCTGGAAGAAGAGCTGTCTTCTCCTAATTATAACTTCCACATATTCTACTACAGTTGGTTTGGGAATCCACAGTTTGATGGTAAATATATTCACTGGAACCATCCATTGTTGCCACATTGGGATCCCAAAATTGCAAACAATTATCCAAAGGGAAGGCATAATCCTCCTGAGGACATTGGGGCCAACTTTTATCCTGAACTTGGATCTTACAGTTCCAAAGACCCTTCTGTCATAGAATCCCACATGAAACAAATGCGTTCAGCTTCAACTGGTAATGAATGTTAACATTTCAGCATGTTGTTCGTTTATCCAGCTTTAAATATGTGAATGAACACAACTGACCCATTCTTCCATTTTCTATGTAATTCTGAAAGTGTCTGAAACTAGTAAATGCCTTTGTATTTCTGCGTTTTAACCCCCAACCAAAATCTTAATCTTCAAAGCTGTGTCTGATGAGTGTAACAGCACAGAAACTTAAGAACTATATTTGTAATCCTGTAGGTGCACATGTTTCATGACTTACTGTTAAGCACTGATAACAGATGTAGAAAATACAGAAACCACTGCTAGAATATATTATCTGTGTATTTTATTTTTGGAGATTAATACTTCAGTTTTAAGAACAGCTTTCAGTAAATGATGTTAATGTGGTTATGGGGTAGTCTGTTTAAATAGTTTTTTTTTTTCTTTTTTCTTTCTGAATTCTTTGTGTGTAATAACAATTATGTAATAATTCATATGTCAAAGAGCATGTAGGATTATAGCTTTTATATTATATTTTATGCAGTGTATTTTTAGGTGTTCTCATTATTTATGGAAATGTCTAATCCAGACCTTCTTGAATTTAGGCATGATAGTTTAAATGCAGCTAATTATAGTTTATTTCTTTGTCCAAAAGTATCTTTTTTTTCAATATAAATTGATGTTCCTTTTCTCTAAATAAGATGGACTATATACATAAGAGCATTCAGTATATTTTTGGTGTCATTCTTTGTTGTTGGGCTTTGTAGTCTTTTTTATGTTAATCTTCTTTAAAATAAGCAGTCATATAGGCTAAAATTGAAGTCTGAACAGCTTCTGTAAATGTCACAGGAGCAACATGACCAGAGCTTATAGCATTAGCGTGCTAATTGAATAACTTTCATTCACCTCATCATTAAGGTTTGATGTAATTGTTATATTCCCATTAGTAGTGTTTATTTGGATAATGTTCAGTTCTTGGTTTTTGTTTTCTCCTGGTTTTTAACCTAACCTATTTTGTACGAGGGTTAATACAAATTTAGGAATTTTCTCACCCTTTTCAGTAATAACATAACTCCATTAACAGGAACACCAGCAACAGTGGGGAAAATTTGCAGAGAAATCTCAGGTATTAGTTGCAAGTAAACACTTTTTTAGTCTTATCTAAAGCAAAATAATTCATAATAGTGTGACGAAAGCAGAGAGGGCACTTGTAGTTTTAGAAGAATCTGTGATGTTTCTCGTCCTCTTAAAACAAATGTCTAATAAAGCTGAACTGCTGGTGGAAAAGGGGCCAAATACTAGGAAAAAATGCTTTGCAAAATAAGGTTTTTTAGTATTGAAGTTAGCTTTCTATTTAAAACTCAGGAATGTGAATGAATTGCTTCCTGTGACACACTGTTTTTAACATATTACTGATATTTATCTAAAGTGATTTTTTTTTCTGCTGTTATTCTGACTTACAGATTTAAGTACGCTTCAATTTGTTCTCTTACATCTAGATTTGACCAACATAAATCAGCTTCTTTCCCTCAGATCGTTACTTCAAATATTGCATCTTTTTTTTAATAGGAATTATACTTTGTTTATTTTTTATGTACTATGAGGTTAACTATTTGCAGTTTCTTCTTTTTATCTCTTAACCAATGTCTAATCCATGACTAAATTTTACATTCTGTCAAATAATAATTTTTCTTTTAGTCTTTTTTGAAGCTTTATCAAGGATCTTACAAAAGAAGAAAAATGTAAGCAGTTCCTTCAGCTAATATTGTGTAGTGATCAAAGGCATATAAGAGATTGAAGCAGCAGGAGTCTCATGCAGTTCTTCTCTATATTCTTCTTATATTTTACAATTGTTTCCTTATTTATTTCCTATTTTTTAACAGATGAATACAATAGATTTTATTCCTCAGATTGCTTGGTGAAATTTATTTTTCTTGTACAGGCCTATTTTTGTGGTATTCCAGTTTGAAGTCCTTAATTTTTCTTGAATGACTTTACTCTGGTTTTAAACATGTTTGGTTTTGGTTTTTTTGGTTGGTTTTTTTTTTTTTTTTTAGACTCTTGAAGTGCTACCTAACTTTAGTATTCATGTGGTTAAAAATAAGTAGTCTTTCTCAGGAAAAGACCACAGCAGACATGAATTTAGGTTCCTTGATGAACAATTCTGTCTCCTGAACTTTTCCCTGTTTCCTAAAGGTATAGAAAAGGGATGTATTCAAGATACCTTGAGTATAACCTGTTAGTTGCTCCTGTTCTACTTGTCCTTTACATCTTATTCATTTGAACTTTGTCCTTTTCTTTTGTGTGAAATAAAAGATAGGGTGATAAAATGCAGTAAAAATATTGCATTTTTCTTGTCCTTGAGCAGACTATCTCTTGTGACAGTCTATTATTTATGATTCTTTTTGATAAAATGTGGAGAGAATATGCTGATGGTAGTTGAACTAACTTCTTGTATGTATAGTGAGCTCAAATCCCTGGTTTTGATGTTAGAAGACAATTTTGTATCCACTCTAATTTATGCTTTCTTTTTCATAATTTTGAACTTATTTGTTTGGAATCTGTTAGTCAGAAATGTTATAATGTTAGTAAAATAGATGGAATTTAGACTATGTACTTCCTTATCTCAGTGACCTGGTTTGTGTACTTAAATCTTTACCTAGTTATAAAGAAACACATTGACTTATTCTTCCATATATTTTAAATAGTATTGTTAGGAAAATATTCCTACATCAGTATTTCAAGTATTTCTTTCTGTCTTGCTTTCTTCCTGATATTATTTTCCAGCTACACACCTAAGAGATCTAACTTTTTTATCTGACAACATTTTATTTTAGAAGGAGAGGGTTTAGCCTTTCTGAAGAGGTATGTGTTCTTTTGCTTTCATAGAGAGCATCAGGAAAATTTACAGTATAGGGACATTGTATTTGTTGTCATCTTTTTTGACAGGAATAGTAACATCCTTAAATTGTTGACAGTTACTCAAGCTTTTTTTTTTTTTTTTTAGGTAACAAATTTAGAAACTAATTTCACATGGCTGGAAGGGTGGATTACCCCATAACACATGCTTTTAGCAAGAAGGAAATTTGGGGAATTACAGTCACTACTAGTATGAAATGGTTTTGTAGTAGAGCCAGAGGTACCATGCAGAAATATGGTAGGGACTAAAGTTTCATAAAATAAGAATCTCTTTCATCTAATCCTATGTGTCTTGATATTCTCTGGCTCTGCTGTGGCATAGCTATAATGCCTTAGTTGGGAGCATTCTCCTCCTCTTGGTACAACCTGGAGATTAGGATGCTGTGCTGAAAAGTGGGAGGGAATGGCTCTTAAGTGTTAAACTTGGGACACTGATTGCAGATTTGTTCCCTTGACAGATTATTTTACCACTGATTTATTGTCTTATAAACAAAGAGAGAAGTTAAAATCCACTCTGAGAATACTACGATTTCATAATTATTTAAAAAGTAATTTGAAATTCTCATTTATATTATATAGATTTCACATCAAATGATAAATATAACTCACGATGATGTTTTATGTTAAACATTATTTAAAACTTAAGTTTTGTATTTTCAGGTGTAATAGTGCTTTCATGGTACCCACCGGGTATGGCTGATGAAAATGGAGAACCCACTGATGATTTAGTGCCTGTTATTTTGGATTATGCACACAAATATAATCTAAAGGTAAAGTATTTTTAAGATGCATAAAATAGGACTACTTAGGAAAGTAAACCTTGCTGAGAGTTCACTACATTTGACTCACGGTGTAGAGCAGGGAGGTTTGTCCCATAATGGTGGCTTCTTTTTCTTTCTCCTGTTATACTTTTGGGTCATCGAAGCAGGTATAAATGCCCTTTGATTTACACTGAGTTTTGATAAGACCTAAACAATATTGCCTTACAACTAGAATAGCTATCATAGTCTGCCTTTTTTTTTTGTTTGGGTTCAGATCTAAAGCATACAGAATCTGAGGTATGTTGTAGATTTTATTTTTTTATGAAAAAGTTTTTAAAAATAGACAAAATGTTGTTTTCAAATTAGCCTTGAGAGTTGAGGGAAGTCTTACATATTTCAAAATATTATGGAGTACAATGATCTATAAACTACGGAACTATGAGAAAGAAGAAAGTCCAAGCTAATTTTTTGCATTACTGCATAACTTAATGGTTGCTTGATCATAGAGATCAGGAGCAAGCATCTATGAGTAATAAAGAGGGATTTAGAAGTTCTTGCTTGAATGAATATTGAAGGTATCGGGAACACTTGGCTTGAACAGTAAGGTCAAAGAGGTGCTGCTCTGACTTTAGGTTACTCCAAGGCATAGCAGCATAGAAAGACTAAATTACCAGCTTTCTGAAATAGATGAAAGATCAAATCAAGTAAATATTATGTGGCTTGATCAGCAGAATCTAAAATCATGGCTTGATTTTGTTTATTTTTAGAATAAAACTTGTATTTTCCTTTGGGATAAAGAAAACATGCATTGTCTTTTAGTCTTGCAGAGTAATAAATTTGAGGTTTTAAATTATTAAGTACCTGTATATATTTAATCTCTGGAGGCTGTTGCTTGTGCTGGGGACTAAAAATACAGCCTGTTTATCTGCTGTGTTTTAGTTGGTCATGCAAGTTGCAGATTTGCAGAGAAATTTTCTCTCACTAGTAGCAACTGTAGATTCTTTGACAAGCAGGAAGAAGGTAAAAAGGATAAATCAGATACAGAAGTAATTTTTAAACTGTTAAAAATGCTGTGTGATTTGCATTATGTGACATAAGTTGCACATATGTAATAGTAAATTATTAAAAAGAAAAAAAAAGTATTACCCATCCTAAAATTTTTAGATCATCTTATGGAGCTTAGTCTCACCTAAAAGAGCTTATTAACATTCAAGTCTCTCAAAGGAGCCAAGGCAAAATGAAATAAGCCACAAAGGAAAGTGCATGTAATATTATGGTAATGATTGGAATATGGATGGAACTGCTGTTATTGCTTGGAGTAATTACTGGAATACAGATTTAAGTATAGATTCTACCAGGGAATGATACCTTCACTGTAATGTTTTTTAAACATTCTTGTACTAGTAAGTTATTACAGTTAAGTGTTAGGAATGTCAGTAGACCAAAACCAACATAAAAAATACATTTCTGTTATGTCTGCTAAATACAAATCTGCAAAAAGATATGTCCTTTTGATGTGCCTGGCATGATAGTTGGAAATGAAATATGAAGTTATAGTGCTCTTCAGCCTTTCCTGACATCCTAGTGATTTAGTCTAGCACTGTATTTTTCGATAGTTTGTACCTAATAGAGATAGATATTGGCTCTACAATGGAAATTTGCTACTGTTGCAGAGTTGTTTAAGACTTTATTATGTGCATTCTGCTCTAAAATTACTTCTGAAAAACTAGTTGCTTTGATTAATGTAATATGCTTTTCCATTTAATTGTATATTTGAAAATAATGGCATTTTTACATGGAAATTACTTCACTTGTATAGATTAAATAATTCCATAAGCACCAAGCTTGAAATTCAGAGCAGTAGCAAGTACGTTATATTAGATTTAGTTACAAGAGTTTAGTGCTGTTGATAAATATATAAAATTTTAATTAAAATTTTCCTATCCCATATCTTAAAATCTATTTTGATTTTGAGAACTCTCCTTGAAGAATTATCTATAGCAAATTTAATACATTGTTTAGAAATTAAATATTAAAATATTTCATTGGTTAGTCAGTTCTTTGACATTAAAATAGGTAATATTTTATTTCAATTTTTAGTTTCTGCTGTAGTTTTTTTAAGTTTTCTGAAGCATGCTTATTACTTACTGTAGCCTAGGGAAAACAAAAGCAGTGTTTTGTTTTAATGTAAAAACCTAAATATTTAATCTATTACCAAATTTCCTTGGATCTGAAGTTTCTAATCTTAGCAATGCAGGAGTTAAATTAGGGTTGGATTACGCTAAAAGTAGACTAGTGAAAATGTCTGCTCTGTTAAGAAGAACTATATTTAATGTGACTGGTACTTGCTTCATATGATATGTGGTGCCCACATATTCTGTTGTATTTCCCATTTGTGTTGCTCTTACTACGTCTTCATGTTTCAGGTCACTTTTCATATTGAACCTTACAAAGACAGAGATGATCGCAGTATGTACCACAATGTCAAATACATCATTGACAAGTGAGTGCTTTCAGAATGATTTCCTTTGGAGTTTATTACATGCTGGTTTAGGGGTCTTGTGCATATTATCTAAATCTTGGAAGAGTATGTAAGAATGTATACTGAGACAGAAGAAAACTGTAAGAAACTTTGTTCATATTTCAGTGGTACAAAACTTAGTCTGTTTTTTAAATATTGAAGTGTGAATTTTGCATAGATACTCAAATGTAAATTGCTTTGAACATTCATTAGTATCACAAGTCATGATACTTCAGTTTAAAGCAGTTAAATTATTAGCTACATGATATATAAATTAAACATACATTTTATAGTGACAAACTAGCAACTAGAGCTTTAATGTGTTGACCTTTAATGATCTTAATTCAGCTTGACAAATACTGTACAGCTACTAGTTGTGTTGTTTATCAGTGCTACTTAGCATGTTTTATTTAATCCTGAATTAGAGAATTGCCCTTCAGAGAAAACTAATACCTATACTTATAATCAAGGTATTGATTATACCAGTTTAACACTAAGTTACTAATTTGTAGCCATTTAAGAGTTCTTTGCAGATTCATTATTTACTTCAGCAAATACTGGACTGAAAATGGATATCAATTGCTGTTTTGAAGCACATGCACTGTCTTTTTAAATTAGTTTTTAGGAAATGTATTTAGGTCAGATTATAAAACAGTATTTTCCAAATTTTGTCTTAACGATACTTGTTTGCTTTATAGATATGGAGGCCATCCAGCCTTTTACAGGCATAAGACCAGCACAGGCAGACTTCTTCCCATGTTTTATGTTTATGATTCTTACGTAACTATTCCTGAAATATGGGCAAATCTGTTAACTGTTTCTGGATCCCAGACTATTCGAAATACTCCGTATGATGCATTATTCATTGCACTTCTTGTAGAAGAAAGACACAAGCATGACATTCACAGAAGTGGCTTTGATGGAATGTACACATACTTTGCCACCAATGGCTTCTCCTATGGCTCATCTCATCATAATTGGGCAAGTTTAAAAGCCTTTTGTGACAGTAACAACTTAATGTTTATTCCCAGTGTGGGGCCAGGGTATATTGATACCAGTATCCGACCATGGAACAACCACAACACCCGTAACCGTGTCAATGGGAAGTACTATGAGACTGCCTTCAGTGCAGCCCTTTTGGTGCGACCAGAAATTATTTCTATTACATCTTTTAATGAATGGCATGAGGGAACTCAGATTGAAAAAGCTGTCCCCAAACGGACTGGGCAGGTGGTTTACCTTGATTATAAGCCCCATAAACCAAATGTTTACCTAGAGCTTACTCAGAAGTGGTCTGAGAAGTACAGAAAAGAACAAGAACAGTGGCTTATGTGAGCTGTTGCTGCTGCAGTTGTGTCCTAACACATTGACTACATTGAGAAAGAACTGAGAGCTGAAAAATCTGTTATTAAATGTCTTTATTATAGATATGTTAAAATTATTATATCCCTTGAATGTATATGCAATACTACTGAATTTGAAATTTGAAGAGTAAAAAGACGATGAGAATATTGGCATTTCTGTCTTGGATACTGTAGTTCAAGAATATTTTGGGAAAATTCTGGATTTTTGTTGAGGTTTGTTTGTTTGTTTGTTTGTTGTTTTGATTTGGGTTTTTTTTAAACTTCCTAACTTGCATGCTGAGCTTCCAGAACATCTGCATGGGATAACTTTACACAACTAAAGTAGAACAAAAACTTGGTGTAGTTATCCTTACTTCCTTTATTCTTCTGGTTGTGTTTCTAATCAAAGTGATGTTGTAATCTAAATTTTTATCCTGATAGCTTCTTGCAGGATGCTTGTCTGTAGTGTGTGGAATAATCTACATCTACTGTTTTTAATGCTTTACACACAGGGAGTTCTCGACATATGACTAGCTTGTGGTAAAACCACTGAAGAGATATGTGTGATGCAACACTGGTGGTTTTTGTTATTTAAAAAAAAAAAAAAAAAGGATTTGAAGGATTGAGTTCCAAAGAACTGCTGAAAGATTTCTATTTTACTTCCATTTGTTCTGTTCGGTACATGGTGTAGACGTTTGCAGATTACTGAATACTGACCAGTAACATAGTTTTTTCTATGTTACTTTGAATTCTAAAAAAATTAAATTTAAAACAATTTAATTAAAAACAATTTTTAAAAAATTGTTTGAAACTGAGAGTGGAAAAGCTTTTTTTGAGGGGGAATAACCCCTAAGCGTGCAAAAAATATCTAAATCTTTTGCTGATTTGCGTTGTCTGCTAATTCACTGCAGACACATATCTAGTGTGGTTTTTAAAATGTTTAAAGATTCTAAAGTTAATATCTTCCTAGTCCTACAATAAATACGATTTTAGGAAATATTTTTATTTGTTTCAGATTTAGAAGCAATCTAGTTTGATGACAATGACAGCAACTACCCTTTAATTTGAAATCTGAGACTTCTATTTTTCATATACTTCACCTTGTTCCAGGACTCAGAATAGGAGATACTAAAATCTTGTTATCATTCAGATAAGCTCCCTACCAACACTACCTTTGATACTGTGGTGTGTCTGGAAATGGGTACTTTCAGACGTAGGAATCTCACCTTTCAAATGTTGTGATTTTTAACTGTTTTTCTTAATGAAGCTTGAAAGGACCAAGTCACATGGACATGTCTCCCCAGCAGTCTTTTTTTTTGACATTTTCATACAACTCCATAGAAAAGTCTTGAACTTTGGCATAATAGAAATTTCAGTGTTTCATTTATTTGCAGCAAGTGTTTAATCTGTAGCAAAGTGGGGTTTTTGTAGTTTTTGTTTTGTGGGTTTTTTTTATTTATATATGATATGCTCATCCTGTGTTTTAGTTTATACCTTGGAAGAGTTGTGACCACTAGAATTCCATTTATTTCAGC